AAGCTACCTGAAATCACGCTCCACGGAGCAACCTTCTCAAGTGTGTGCGTGTGTCAACTCCTGTCCCTAAGGAGCACGACCACATTAACTCAATTCCACCTTAATCCCTCCTAGGCTTGCAGCTGTCAAGCACGGGGCATGGCAGCTGTTTCCCTAGCCAAAGTGATAGAGCTCTTGCGAGCATGGATCTAAGTGTACGTCGGACGGGAGTGGGGTCAGAAGGTGGTTGATTTGCAAACATGTTCCAAGAAGGCGCCCCGGCAAGGACCATGCAAAGCTCTCGGTTTCTCTTTTTGGGTTTGCCGTTGATGGCTGGAAAGCCTGCCACCTGCTAGCAATTGAACATGTTGGATGTGGAGTTGACGTTGGGTGAACTTGCTTCTGAATGCCCCCCCTTGGTGAGGGGCTCCCAAAAACGCACACTGATCGCACTGACCGGTTGTGGGGGCCTTCTGCAAATGTTGGTCCACAATGTAAATCCCAGACACTCCATGTATGCCCATATTTACATACATTGACCCCTATAAAACCACCCCAATGTAGGTATATATGGCAGTCCCATGGAGTGTTTGGGAATAGGTGAGTGTGTCAGGCGTTCAACGTACCTTGATGGATCGTGTTCTTTGGGGATGACCCGATGACCACAATTGGTACATGTATGCAATCCTGTTGCGACAGTGTGATCCAGACCTGATGATATGTACTGCAACTAATGCAACACCACTAAAGTCGCCAGGGACGTTGGACGTCTAACTTGCTACGACCTTCCCAAGCCCTATGGCCCTATGGTAATGTATACTCTTTGAACTGATTGATCACCCCCTCATTTGGAATAGAACATCCGCCGTCAGGGGGGGTTTATTCATTCTACATCCCTCAGAGTCCAAAGCCACTAAAAAATTGTCTTTGGGTGATCCGAACAGGGAATCTCCTTTACTTTGGTGGTGCCTAAAAATCCACCTGGACTTGTAGGGTTGGTTCAAGTGCCCTGCCCTGCGGGACTCCGGAAAGAACGTTGTATGTGTCATTTTTGCGTTTCCTGGGAGCCTGGGTTCTTTGTTGCTGTGTTCGTAGGTTTCCTGCTAAATGGACCCATGTGTTTGATCATACAGGTCGGACCAATCCAATATTTTGGGTTTGTCCTATTACCTGCAACAGACAGTGGGTAAGCAATTATAACAATTTTTGAACAAGGTCCGCAACTGAGTCACCATCATCATCATCATCATCATCATCATCATCATCATCATCATCATCATCATCATCCATTGACTGTTACTACTAATAGGATAGACTCAAGCAATATTTAGCACCTCTTCGCGCCAAAAAGTGCCAAACTTAGCACTCCAAGAGGCCAGACCTAGACACCCGGATCCATCTTCGGCGGGCCCCCCGGTGACGGATGTTGTGGATGGAGCAGCGAGCTTCCTCGCAGGATGAGGAGGAGAGTTTAGATGTGGAGCTTGAAGCTTTGGCCTGCCAGGCGTGGATCACGTGTCCTCCGGCCCCGAATGAGAAAGCACATGAGGGAGCAGATGCTCTGAATCGATGCTTGAAGCATCACTCGTTGGTCGGGTAGAGTGATGTCAAAGTGGAGCGTCTTGCAGTTGAAACTCAATTTGTTGGGAGAAATTGGAGCCCTGCAACAAAAGTTAGGAATGGGATCCTGTGGTCGCTCGGTACGTGTAGAAGCCTGGATCTTGATGAAGTGCCTTGCTGCCGTAGGACTTGCTTCATGAGTTGCCCCATAGCTACACTATGTCTTTTGTCTTCGGCCCACACCTTCTAACAATGCTTGCGAAACTCCGCAAGGAAGGAGGGAGAGATAGAGAGAGAGAGATCTTAAGCAATTTGACCACCTCACCAGCGACCGGGACGGTTTCGCGTATGCGAAACCAGGCGGACGACCAGCGAGTCAGGTGTTGCCGAGCAAAGAGGACCAGCTGCGAAAGGTGAAGATTTGGAAGGAGCCGCTGGGCACAAGAGCCCAATGTCGGTGAAGATGGCGAATGGGGCCGGGGGTAAAGCCACCGGCAAAGCAAGCCTTGCAAAAGCAACCCAGTCAGAGGGACTCACGTGGCCAACCCCGCATGAGTCCCCACATGTTGTGGCCCAAGTCTACTCGCCCCTGAGAGTTGAGCATGGAGTCTTATTTTTGTTGTTACCTTCTTGTCTCCAGCTTTGAGAGCATGAGAGCATGATTCAAGACCTTTTTGGATTACTCAGGGGCACGTGCTGTAGAGAACCTCCGCCGAGGTTGCAAGACATTTCCCAGCTGGTCTTGGGCAAGGACGCAGAGGTGCCCAACGCGGCCGCCTGTGAGAAAACAAACTCACCCGATGGCACCAGTATAGAGAAAGGTTGCAAACTCCAACATCAGATGACAAAAACCTTCAAACTTCCAACATCTTCCAACATTTTACATGATATAATAGTTACAGTTACATGCCCAAGAGTTAGACTGAGAGCACCTACATATGGAAATTGACTCACCTCCATAAACACACATATATATATATTATTTATAATGTTGTTTTACCATTGGAAACCAGTGAGTCCAACTCCTCCCTGGTTGATTATTGAATGTTCAATTGGTGTGTCAACATTTTAGCGCCATGTGCAGAAGCCAGTGTTCGAAGAGAATCACGGCTGAGCCTTCCCCGTTGCTCGTCCATGGCGTTTGGCTCGCCTTTGTTCGTGCACGTGAGTTGAAGTCGTGCACGGGAGATGGATGGGTTCGGGCATGAAACATCCGACTTGCACAGTAGTCCCCTGTCCGAGGACACTCACATGACAGTCGAAGCATCATCAATCCACCGGTCGGATCTGCCAGAAGAGATCTTCCCAACCACCTCTACGAGCCACGGACCCGATCCCCAAAAACTCCTTCATTGCCTTCACTGTCACTGCTACTAATTACTGCTAATTAGGGCTGCTGTAGGGTCTTCAATCATTTTTCTAAAACAAAAACGCTGTTAAATCGAGTCACTTGCTTGTGCTTACCAATCGGTTGTTTCTTTCTACGAAGCCATGCGACACGGCTTGATTCAAACATCCAAAGTCCCGTGTCCCGTGTCGCCGGTTCATAGTTGGTGGGTGGGCATATGGTCAATTAGAGGCCATGGATGGCAATGGAGTCAAGTCCCCGGTTCCTCGCGTGGTCCAAGAGCCAAACACACACCCGATGGGCCGATGGCGTGCCGATGGGCCCGGGCGACCTCCGTGGCGACCTCGACACTGGGACAGATGGACCCGGGGCGACACTGAGAATCCGCGCTTGCGGATTGTATGTAGCAGATGTAGCCGAGTCCCAGTCAGACCAGTATGCTTTTTCGAGACTTCGAGGGACCGGTGACACAAACTCATGGTCCTTCGTCTGATCATGGAACCACAAGTTGGTTCGACAAGCGTGAACCGAGTCGAGCATCACGTTTCCCCGCGAGCATGGGGTCAGATGTATCCAAGATCTTGATTACCTTGATAGAGATTGTTGTGTGTATCATGTTACGATCCCACTTTTTAAGTCAGAACTTCTGACAGTTGCAGGACAATGTCACGCATGTTGCCAGTGGGTTCCTTCTTACCTTCGCAGTTGGGATCCGGCCTTGGCTGAGTGACATCAGGTCTCATTAATGTTTAAGCAGAGTGAGCCTTGACCCGGCCGCTCGGGCCGGCCATTCGCCGGGCACAACATTTGCAGCCGAAGTCCCTCAAACAACACGAGCCGAACTGAATCGGAGAAGAGCTCAGCAACTGGGCATCGACATGGAGAACGAACAACGAATCATAGACCAGTTCATGTTCATAGGGATTTCATGGGTCAACATATTCCAAACGATGGGTTCCATCATAGAGCAGTTTCCAGGACCAGTTGAACATAGAAAGCTGGGTTCCTGAAAACCCATCCTGGTTGACTTGTCCGACCTCCCGCGACCCGAGCCCGGCACGTCCCAAGGAGCGAGCCAAGCGCTTGTTGCACCGGCTCGGGCTGCGGCGTCCGAAGCTGCTGCTGTGGCGTGTGGAGGTCTCTCGGTGACCGGTGTTGGCAGCCGAGGTTTGAAGATCGTCGTCAGGTTGGGAAAGATCTTAATAGGCTGATGTGAATACATGATAAGCTATGATAAGCTAATATAGATCTTAATAGGCCAATATAAGCTATGATAAGCTGATGTGCATATAATGCTGCATATATGGCATATGTTCGGACGGACCATTGAATCAAACCCCTATTGGGTGCTTTGCGGACGATTCCTGTGTCAGTCTCCTCAGGAACACTGGGACGGGCAAGGCTTGTCTGACCGACGGGCACCTTGCCAAAGAAGCAGCGCTTTTACATCCGACCCTTGCAGAATTCCGAAACAACTTGTCCTAAAAAGATTTTGATAAATATTGGAGTTGTCAAGAATTGTCAAGATATATAGGAGGGCACAGAACAAGTGAGTTGAGTAATGTTGAGTAGATGTCCAGCCTTTCCATGTTTCAGACCAAATGGGAGTCAAATCAGTGTAGTCCAGCTGAGGCATGTTTGGCCATTATTTTGGCCGAAGCTTTTCTACTGAACCGCATCGCAGTCCTTCCTCGCTTCACTCTATCCGCACAACACAATGGCAGCTTCCTCTCGCATTGGTTTTGGAGATGCGTATGGAAGATGGAAGAAGAGTTCGTGGCAGCAAATAGTGCCCTATAGTGCGTGAATAGTGTTCCTATAAACCATTATATTATAGACTGCTTAAAACTTGCATAGGGATATATCGAGAGACGTTTGCACGCAGCCACCATGCAGTCTCCGAATCGAAACTCGACCCTGGGATTGGTCAAAACAACGACACACATGTAACAGATGTCACAACAATCCACCCAATGTTCGGAGGGCTGGAATTGAGATGGACACTTAGCAGCTAGCCGCCAGATTCTTGGGAGCACTCCCATTTGGCACGAGCTGAGCAGATGAAAGGTTTAACAAAGTCCTTTGACCTGAAGAGCCTTCTGTAATTAAGGTGGGCGTCAGCTGCTATCGAACCTTCTGGAGTACGTCTCCTTAGAGCCTCGGCTTTAGGTTCGTTGATCCATTTTTCTCAGAACGTAGCTGTGGGTTGAACCATGCCAAATCAATACAAGAACATCACGTGAGACCACCTAGACCGTTCAAGGGGCATAGGAAGATCCATATTGTTTGTTTGGGGCAGTCCAGATCCAACAGTTTGTTTCAGGCCGACTCCTGATACATATGTTGTTACATACGCTGGAGATGTGCACTCACCTCAAGAGTGTAGACCTAGCCGCTGTAGCTATACCATACTGCACCACTTATTGCAACTTATCTTTTGTCAACGGGCACGAGCGGGGCTTTCTGTGGGCGGCCAGGAACACTTTCCCATGCAGTTCTTGGAGGAGTACAAGTGGGGTCAGGACACTGTGCTTCTCGACCATGAGGACACTGAGCGTTCATGTTTCCATTGGTTCTCGGCTAGCAGCTTTTCACATTGTTCCAGCATCGAGTGCGGACACTCAACATCGGACCGAAAAACAATTGAATAACCGAATTGGACCCGTAAACAACTTTTGTCCCATGAGGACTCCAGCCGGCTCTATCTTGAGATGCAAGTCTGAGCCGGATCGCCCAATCGCCGCACATCGCCGACACTTCGTCTCTCTCAGAGTCGTGTGAAACCAACGAGTCGTGCGGCGCAGATCGATCTCGACCGGTCCGGAGAGCGACGGAGGGGATGCTGAATCGACGTAGGGTCGGGCGTATTCGGACTGAAGAGTCCCACTGGGGAGTGGACCATGGTGAGGGAGGTGTCCCTCTGACACCTCCGCTTTTCAGTGCTTCTACAGCCGGGTGCTGTTCCAAACGTGCTCGGAGTCCGCGCGATGTTTGAAGAGGGTCGTTCCTACAAACACGGTGGACTGGGATGCGGTGAGCCCACCTCCGACCCCAGGACTTCCTCGAAGTTGGGGGAATCCTCGACCCCGACGGATGGCGCCGGTGTTCAGCACCGGTCTTGCTACGCACCGCTGCCAGGCCCACAGCTGGGCCGTGTGAGAAGACTTTTTGGTGGATTTCTATTATGGGTTGGTCTAAACGTCCGACTTGTCGGTTGGTCACCTTTGACGGGCATCAGAGTTCTTTTGCTCGAAATCTTCGGGAAGATTCTTGAGGTTTCTTTTTCCACAGGCCGGCCGAATAAACCAATGAACCGAAATACCCCCGTGCTGTTGGGTAGTGAAACACTAGTGTGAAGACAAACGCACGACACAAAGGCGTAGAGGCATGTAGAGGCGTAGACAATCGTAGACATCATGCCTTCAAACGTAAAGAGCACCATCATCACCTCAACTGTTCAGGCTCAACCTGACTCTTAAGTTCAGATTGATCCTCTCTTTCACCTCAGGCAGGGCTTCTGGAAGTCCCCAGTGCACCCCTCTGTGTGGCGCCTTGCCGCCGAGCTCCACGGCACTGGCATGGCGCCGACCCGCGGCCTCTTTGCCCCGGCGCCGCGCGTAGCGCGCGCGGCGTCGGCGGCGCGAGCAGCCCTGCAGGGCGTGGGGTCAACAAAGGAGGGCTATGCCGCGTGGTGGCAGGACCTGGCGGTGGTGGTGGTGGTGGTGGTGGTGTGGATTAACCTGGGAGAAAACCAGAAACAGGTTCTTCAGGTGAGAGCACGACCGTGTGAATTCGCAAGTGGCGGTGTTCCGGTCGGTGCGGCTTTTGTGGAGACTGGTTTGTTGAGATGGCTTCAGGGAGCGGCTTCTGTTAACAGTTGTTTAAACATGGCCCAACTGAGGGGGTCCTTCAACAGCCGTTGTCGTGAGCCAGCAATTAGATGAAGGGCATCCTACCACTTGAAGCAGTTTGAGTGAGACCAATGTGGGACCAGTTGTGACAAAAGGCCTGCTCATAGAGGATCAAATGCATCATAATTAATGCACCCATGCATTCTGGATGAATAGCACTGTACATGTGTCAAGATCGGAAAAGACATGAAAAGACATAAGCACCCACCCAAGATGGGCATCCTTCCTTGGTCTTTCTTTCTTCCCACTTCCCCACTTCCACCGAAGTCAGTTTGAGTCGCCTTCATTCATCGCCCACAAGGTGGGTGTGCACTGTCGGCGTGGTGACAAGCTGATGCCTGGATTTTCAGGATCATGGAGTCACTAGAGAGTCGCTCAGCCCACAGTGGGCAGAAACAAAAATGGCAATATCATGCGAACACGTGGCCCGTAGTTGGCTCTTTCTACCATGGTAGATAGTATGATGGTTGAATCCCACTCAACCGATTGAGCTGAACATCACGAATCACGAAGAGGGAATCAATTTCGGGGAATGCGTGCGGGTATGGGTGGTTGAGTTGCGGAAACTCAAGGAAATCAAGGCCATCCTCAACCCTCGCGGCTCTGAGTAGGTACTTGGTTCTCGCGAAGTGGTTCGCCAACATGTTAGGGATGTTCTACATGCACCATTCCAAGTTGCCGCAGTTTGCCTACCAGTACTACACGTCACTAGGTTATTTTACACACCACCACGGTCGCTACTGGTCGCCACGATGTGGGAATGGCTTCAGGAAGATGATGCCCGGCCTAGAAGACGTCACCTCTCCGGCGGGTCTCTTGAAGTTCCTGCGCCTCGGCCCTGGACGCTTTGGACCCGTTGGTGGTTCGCCGCCGTCCGGGAACACCAAGCGATCGGCAGATATGGCAGTCTGGAGTGTTTAAAGTATTGTGAAATATCTTTGGCAGTCCATGTTTGGTGGTGAGTAAGGCGCTGAAGCCGAAAGCTGGCATTTGGCATCAAAGTGAGTCAAGTCCTGATCGCGATCCTCTAAAATGGATTCTTGAGATCGCTTGAGATGTTCATGTGACGGATTCCTTGGATGGAAGGAATCTTCAAGGCAACAAGAGGTCTGAGACAGACCTTATTAAAAGATACCACTTACCACGGGACTTGAAATCATTCTGTTATCCATGTTGTTTTCAGCACAAACATGTCTAGAAGGGTACACGTTACATGGCAGTTTTCGCTCTTCAAGAACTCGAACGGATGGGGTGTGTTCATAGCTTGCGCTGTTTGGTGCTAATCTCTTCCTGGATTTGCTTAGGGCGATGTTACACTTTCCCTATGGACGAATCCCCTTCCGAGGAATATATTGTTATTTTCCTGGTTCGTTGAGCAAACTCAAGTGGATTCTTGGCTCTCTGGTTCAACACTCAGAAATAGGGGGTTCATCCATGGGGCAGTCATGAAACAGACCCGTAACAATGAGGTTACTGGCCTGTAGACTCCTTGCAAATTTGTAAAAAGATGGCCTGCGGGGACATGGATCAGACTCCATGAATTGCTTTGCAGACGACTGTGCCCTGAAAACGCCCAAGCTCGCCTTCCACGTGGGGGAGTTGTTCGGGGAGTTGGAGAGGGCAGGATCCGAAGTCCGTCCTTTTTCTGGCTCAGGCAAGCGGTTGCTTCACACACGCGGCGTGAAGCTCGGTGGAAGTTCACTCCGGGTGCCATACCCAAAGTAAAGTCTTCAATATTGAGATGGGGGAACTACCTGGACCTTTGAGAGATCAACAAAGACATCCTGGAGATCCATTTAGGTAGTTCAGGGTCCAGGTGTCCTCTTGGAATTTGCTGGTGGAACGTGGTGTAGATATGTTTGTCATATATGGGCTGATGCTGATGTGTTCGGTTTGCCCACTCCCCCTTGCATATACGCCGGATCGTAAACACGTGACTTTCTTGGGACTCTGTGAGGAATCCCGTCATTGTTTGCTCATTGTCAGGGTGCAGACTTCAATCTTGAGGGCTTGATTCGAGACATATATGTTATATGAGGGCCTTGATCATTTGCAAGGCATGCTAACATTTGGAGCCACGGGGTTGGAGCCTCGACACTGGACATTGGTTTCTGCTGAGACGTCTGCAAATTCTGGCTGTGTTCACGGTCCTTCCTTAAAAGAAACTCAAGGCGTTTCAAGGCATAGCTGCCAGATGGTTTGTGTGGGGAACACGTTTCTTTCATGTATCATGATTAATGTGTTCAAGTCTTCAAGTTGTGATTTTGTTTATATAAAGCTATTTATACCAGTATACATTTTGACTAAACAGGTGATTTAACGCATTTTTTACCTCCCTGCTGCCAGGTGTACCTTGCAACGGACGAGGTCCATGTGAAGGACTACGCGGAGGTTCTGCAGTTTGCGCAGTTTTGCTGGGGGCTCGGGGAACGGCTACTGAGCAAGCCATGTTGGATGATGTTGGATGTAGCACATCCCGGAAGTTGGGTAATGTACTGTAAAGAAGATTGATGTGGGTTTGATAGGGGTATCGGGTAGAGATTCTCGTGATACAGCCTAGCTCCTGAACGGCTTTGTGTGCCACATTTAACAATATCATCTACAGGAGCTGCTTTTTTGGAATGATGTGATTCTCACAGAGGAACTGGTGATCTTGGAAGAACCGAGAAAAAATGGTTCTCTTCCAATGCTCGGACCAGCATCCAGTTGCCGGTGGCATATCGCAGCCTTTCCCTCGCTCGTGACAGGTCCTAGCTGCTGGCGGCTTTGAGTGCTACACGCGTGACTTCTTGCAGCGCGGCAGACGTTAGAATCGTCATGACATGGAACCAACAAGATGTACTCCAGAAACTTGAGCTGTTGTTTCTCCAAATAGCTGCTCCACTGGGAGATGAGAGAGCTTTGTGCAAAGTTTTGTAGAGAAAACGCCGTGCAGGAAATCGGGGAATGTTTTTCGTGTGAAACACCATACCCATGGGGGGCAATTAGAGGAGAAAAAAGAGGCCTCCAACGAAAGCGCTTTCTATCTTTTTCCGATGACAAAGATATTCAAAAGTTCACAGATACATTGTTGGGTCGCCCGCCGCCCGAGCACTACTACTGTAGGTCTTTGTGCGGTTTCCTGCGCGTAACCTACGCCCGGTGTTGGGCCCCCTTCCGGTGCGACGTTGGTCGTCCGCTGGGTGCAGGTGGCCGTTTGACTGGGACCCTAGGACATCGAAAGGTGCACCTGATCGCGCTGAGGTATGACTTCGCATCTGAGAAGGAGTTGCAAGATAACTACTTCCTCTTCGCGCCTCAGAGAAGTACCAGTACCTGCAGGGTGGGCCAGTACCTGCAGGTATTGGTTGGTTTGCAAGTTTTGTGGAAGTGAGGGATGCGGGACAACGTTATTACTTTTGGCTAGTTAGGATGCTATCCAGTTTCATGTTGAGACACAAACTGGGAAACACATGGAAACAGCAAGGTGCTCGTAGCTATTGATTCTGTCGTAATTTCTATTTGATAATGGCTGGAGAAATCTGGAGAAGGTGGCCTATGTCAGCGCTTGCCAAGGCCATCGAAATGAAAATCATTGATGATGCGACGAGCCTCCGGTTGATATCTCGGGCCTATAGAGTTGCACCCCCTGTCCAAGAGACATCAAGAGACCAAGCCAGAGAGTCTGGAACATCCGAGGCATACTTCATATCAAAAGGCTGTCCATGTGGTAGCTCCAAGCCGTTTGAACTTTCGTTCTTTTGGAACTCTTGGGTTGGGCACTTGGGATCTCGTCACGTCGTGACCGACCATGTCCAGCACCGGAAGACCAGGGTATTCTCGTTTCATGTATATACGGTATTATTGATTTGTATAAAAAATGCTTCCCTAGCAAGTGATTGAGGGAATTTTGAGAAGCAGAAACCCTCCAAAACCATTCCAGGGAGTTTGGCCTAAAAAATTGTTGTTTAAGAGAAACAAAGGACATGAAAAGGAATTCCTGCCCTGTCCATTCCCAATTGGATTTCCTCCATCCCTAAGCAGGAAGAATCTATAGTAAGTAGAGGAAGGCGATACAAAAGCAAAGGAGGTCAGAGGTTCAACTGTGATGTGTTTTTTGCAGCCGGCTAAGTTTGTTTGGTATTTTTTGGGTATGAATGATTCCAACCCGCTAAACAATTACGAATTCAATCTCAGGGTGCTTGTGGACTACCTCTTGAGAAAACTGTTGGGGCCATGATTTGTATGAGTTTGAACATCTTCAGGTCAAGGATCCTCAAATCAAACAAAATCCTAAGAAGAGGCACGCAGCGATGGTGGTTGCAAGTTCTTAATTGAACGCGCACACACGCACGCACGCACACACACACACAAACATGCATTGGGAGAAAAAGCACCTTTAAGTTATATTTAATTTGTAATTATAAGTGTTGAGGAAACCTGTTCATGGAACTCGTCCAACATTGACTCTTCTACCCAGGATCACGGTTCGGAGCTTCAATGATGCAACCCCTTTCTGGTTCAGCGCTGATGCACGAAGCGCGAAGCCCTGTCGCTCGTTCGAATTTGGGGAGAAATTGGGAGAATGGTTCGGAGAGTTCGGGTTCAGCAGAAGACATGTTCAGGACCTCGTTGTGAAACACGGAGGGCTCTAATATATGAGACCTTTCTAGTGCTTCAGCCACCTACAGCTTTGTGGAACTCCACGCAATCAATTTGAGGTTTGCAATTTCCTTTTGGTATCCAGGTGCTGCAACAAGTCACGCACCCCACTGAATTTCACGTGTTTCTTTCAAGTCAGAGAACATCACGCGCGGTGCTACGCACTCCGCGTCCTGGGAGCCCTGGCCACGCAGTGGCTGCGTGGCCAGGCTACCATCTTTTGGATCGCAGCATGCACGACTATCTCCTGGGCTCCAGCGCGCTCGGCACCCACATGACGCCCAGATGCACTGCTCCCATCGACCTCACCACCTCACCCGAGACGTTGTATCTGGGCGACGAACGGCTTGACGAACGGAACCGGCCAGGCCAGGACAGACCTGGCAGACCTGGACCTTGAAAGGGCGAACCTGTGCATCATGAGCATGAAGAGCCATTCTGTGCAGGAGGATGTGTGGAATCACTTGTAGAAGGGTGTGGAATCGACTGACCACAAGTCTTCGAAGAGAGTGGTGCTTCATGTTACATGTTGAAGCTTGAAGCTAGTTAAGGAGTTAAGGTGCATACTGCATACTCCGGCAACTGGGACAATGATGGGTTCAGTGACATCCACTGGTGGTGAGTTTTGTTACTAATTGGCAATCAGTAACAAACTGTTGTGGCCATACATGGGTATGGCGATCTCGCGCGCCCAATGTCTTAGGTTTTGAGTCTTTCTGTTGTGAACTTCTATATGTTGGTTCATGAGGGCCAACACAATTTTCAGCTGGTGCAGCTGCTGTTCCTTTGCGCCCCTGTTTGTGCTTTGCGCATAATGGAGTGGCAGTAATGAGCCTTAGTTCTGTTTTGCCTCCACGGTTGGGGGATGCATGACCCAACCAGAAGCCTGGCCCCGCACACATTTCGCCAACAGGGTCGCCGTTGTTGGCCTTGATTTTAGCAGACCCTGAATAGGATCCTAGTGTAGACAAGTGAAAGAAATATTACACTGCCCCGTTCTTTTGCCAAGTTCGTGCGTGGATGAGACAATGCCATTCTTTTGTGGGACAATTTTCATGGACGGCCATGTTTAATTGGACATTGCAACCGTCCTGGAGTATTGTAGATAGAATATGAACCAATCCCAAAACATGTCCAGCTTCCTCATGTTTTTTTTGATTTTCCGCCATTTCCTTCTGGATGAGTTTGTTCAAAAGGCATGTAAAGGTGCGGGACACCGACGTTTCCGCTTCAGGTACCGTGTGCTCATGTCTGGAGACGATGTGCCCAGGAGCCCAACGACGGTCCCGAGGAGGCCGAGTGGATTGGGCGATGCTGACGAAGAGATGCTCTTTGTGTCAGAAGTCGGGCCTTTTCGCAGACCACATATGACCACATCAAGTATTGCTCATTTGCGGAACATTTGCGACTTTGAAGTCTGGGGGTTGAATTGGACTTTACTCCAATCTGCAGATAGATTGTGGCTACTGCACTCCAATCTGCAGATGGCTCTCGTTTTTGTAGCAAGTGTATTATATATATATATAGTCCTTATCACTTATCACTCACTGATCTAGTTGGAGGACCAACTACCTCCGAAGTCTCCCAAGTCAACAAAGCAAACAAATCTAGTTCTTTGTCCAAATGATCCTCTCCACTCTTCCATCAGTCCAGAGAGAGGCTGGACCTCACTGACCTCGCCCCAGGCGGCGAAAAGAGGCGCCGCCGCCGACGGCCATCGCCTTGGAAGGCCGCGGCGGTGTCAGGCGGCCCTGCTCCGTGTGGCCACTGGGCGCTGCGGATTCGAACGACGCGCGGTACGAGGCGGAGGTGGAGATCGTGGGACCTTGGGATGACACCGAAGGCGGGGGAGGCAGCTGGCAGCTTGTTGTTGCTCGGGGGTTGGGGACTGAGGTTTTAAGCCAAATGGGATGAACCACTGAAAGAGCAGAGTGGACAATTGGTAAGAAGCTGAGTGAATCGTTACCACGATCGTGGTGCTTTGTTTGTCCTGTTTCTTTGAGCAACAAAGGCAGGAGTCGCAACGTACCCTTACGGCCGGCAGGCCCTTTTTTGGCGCCCGGGCCGAGTTCCAATCCCGCGGCAGTCTGCCCGACTGCGTCCTCCAGGCATGTTGATTTGGGGCAGTTACTTTGGCCCATTATTCTCCTGCTGTGATGCTGTGGATGGCTTGCTGCTTGGACGGCACGGAGATGGAGAGTTGTCCAGATAAAGGCGACGTGTTTTGCAACAGATGGGGAAAGTTGGATCAATTTGGAAAAACATTGATGTATACTGACTTGAGCTTGCTTGAGACATCTTTAGTTCTCGCAGTCCTTTAGAATAATTCATCATAGCACAAATTGCTGTTATCTTGTGTCACCCTGCGGGGCCTTTGAAAGATGTTTTCTTCCCACAGACTTGGCGTTTTGGCTTTTCAAACAGGATTTGGAGTATGTGACGATGTGTCCTCCTACGACATTCTATAGTGCAATACAGTATACAGTATATACGTATACATTGAGAAACTGCCGGTTTGGCTTTGGATCTCCCTTGATGTTTGGATGCTTTGAACTTTTGCCTACCATATTCTAAAACTCTTAACTATTGTTATTGGGAGTGCGGACCAGCCTGAGAAGTGAATTTCTATGAATTTCTGGTTCAACTGTTTTTTTTGCAGCATGCCAAGTGCGTGTTCAGCCCGGCAATGCGTCCTTGTTTGCTCCTTGTCTTAAGGACACGTCGCTCCACACTCTTCGGCTTTGAGAACTTGCCTCTTGACAGCTGCCAGCACCGGCGGGCCTGAGTATTGTCTCAGATGGATGTCTTGGTGTGGCTTATATAAGAACTGCCCAAGTGAACCGTTTTGTTCATTGGGGATTCTCATCAGATTCATCAGGTGCGTGGTTTTGACACACCTTGTTTGTGTACAAACCTCCAAGTCCAACAACTACCGTTGTTTTATGCATCCACAGCCAGGTGCCTGCAAGTGAAGATCCCACACTAGAGGCAACCATCAAGGGGTGGCCTTCAAGAAGAATCACGAGGCGTCATTGACTGCCTCCTAGAACTCAGACATGATCCTATTTTCGGACAACGCCTTCACACTTTGCGTAGGGTTGAAAGGGTTGTTACTCTTTGATCGGTCCTGGTGCCATTGGTGTTCCCCACTACCTCTCGGGGCGTCATCGAACCAAGGTCCATGGAGCATTGCAAGCTCACTGAGTGCGAGATCGCGCGAAAGACTGGTGCCGTGTCTTGTCAGAGACTACTACGGCTGCTGCTGCTGCTACTACTACTACTACTGCTATATACTCATATTTATATATTATATAGCTATATGGCTATTTTTTATATATTCCTCCTACTCCTACTCCTATTCCTGCTTCTCCTCCTCCTACTCCTCCTGCTGCTACTACTACTACTACGACGACTACTACTACTACTACTGCTACTGCACAAGGCCATTGCCATTGCACTGGTTTCACTGTATATAGATTCAAGACTATGCAGGATCAGAGGCGAGGGCAGCTGAAAGCACTTTCATCATACGTGTCCCTCTACCTATTTGTGAAGTTTCTGTAGCACATTGTGTCCCTGTCTAAGGTTCTGCCGGTGAGTAGATCTCTCAAACCTTCGTGGGTCCTGGAGGTTTGAATGTTCCGCAGGGATGACTCGAAACTCTTAAACAAATCCGAGCAAGTCGTCTAGATTTGGGCATGTGCCCAGAAGCCTAAGAGATCCTCAGAGGTTTTAGGAGATTGAAGGGGGACGTGTTGACCCCTTCTTCAAGCAGCGTCAAAGGGGCCTTCCTTGCGAGGGTGTTTGCTTTGTATCAGTGCCAGCTCGTCTTACATGGTTTTACTAAAGGTTTTGCTATATACACTCTGACTCACTAACTTGGAAGTGGATGGCATGGTCCCTTGAAAGACGACTTTCCTTTCCCAGGGGGTGCTATCCACGTCACCATGTGATGCGTTCGTACACTCGTGTATGTGTAGCCTGGACGAACCACCGAGCCACAGGGCTCGGTGGACCGGCGGGGGCAAAGCCTGTGGTTTCGTGCTGGCAGCGTTGGGGAGACGGGTTCCACGGTTCCCCAGCTGTTTTCATGCCACAGGAAGTCTGACATGCCTGTAGCTTAGATGTAGTGGCCTAGGTTTATGTTAAAATGTGTTGGCGCATTTTGAGCCCTTAGCCTTCTGACACATTTTCCTTTAAGCATTATAATATATATAGACCAATGTTTTGCATTGTTTTGCATTCTCAAGCTTCGAGCTCTCTGATCCAAATGTCTTCCAGCAGAAACCTGTCGCCGTCAGCCCCTCTTCGTGTTTTCACACAGGTCTTCATCTATGTGTCCTGTGGAGCGACGACACTCACTGACCAGTATGGAGTGCTTGAGCTCCACGCCGGGCAATATGGGGTCGCTGGCCGGGCAAGGAGTGGGGTGAGGAATGAGAGGCGACGACTGGAGGAGTCATGAGGAGTCCATCCCTGCTTGGAGTCATGGGATTTTCAGGGTCACACGGTCACTGCGTTTTGAAAAACCTTATGCTGAGATTCATTCGGCCTCATGGATCCATTTGCCATGGCAAAACAGCAACGGATAAAGTCGAGTTCCGCAACTGCGCAGGATTCCGCAACTGGGATTCCGCAACTGTTTGGTCGGATTCCGCAACTGGGATTCCGCAACTGGGATTCCGAAACTAGGATTCCGCAACTAGGATTCCGCAACTAGAATTCCGCAACTAGGATTCCGCAACTAGGATTCCGAAACTAGGATTCCGCAACTGTCAAGATTCCGCAACTAGGATTCCGCAACTAGGATTCTGCAACTGGGATTCCGCAACTGGCGTTCCGCGACTAGGATTCCGCAACATTGTGGACTCCCTCAATAGGATTCCGCAACTTTGTGAATGATGAGGGATGTCGAGATCACACGATGGGGACAAGGGGGGGTTGGGTGGGGGGATAATGACGTTGGTTTGGATGTGCTTCGAAGGTGATGTCACACGCACACACGCTATCGCATGATGTGGGAATCACCAGTGGCAAGTTTCAGAAGGCAAGTTGCAGAATCTGACTTTCCAGCTTCAGAATACCAGTTGCAGAATCTGACTTTCCAGTTTCAGAATACAAGTTTCAGAATCCCAGTTTCAGAATCCTAGTTTCAGAACCCCAGTTTCAGAATCCTAGTTTCAGACCCCCAGTTTCAGAATACCAGTTTCAGAATCCAAGTTTCAGAACCCTAGTTTCAGAACCTCAGTTTCAGAACCCTAGTTTCAGAATCCGACCGATTAGTTTCCGAATCCGGCTCTAACCAAACAGCAACCCAGTGGGCACGTTTTCCTGGCTGCGTGCACCCTACACCACCATCCTGGATGAGGACGACTTCCTTTCCCTGGTCTTCTCCTCAATGTTGAATTGATGTGGAACTTTTCCCCCACTTGGAATAAAGCTCAACTGAATGAGCACAACTTCAGTTACTGGATCACGGAATGCCTTAGCAGATATTAGCAGCTAATCATTAGCACTTGACCTTACTGCAGGTTAGACCTTGGCTTGGGAACGGCATGGTGCTAGGTGCAAAAGAACAGTATGGTTTAGCAGCATAGGTGAGACAGCGAGCTGTGTTAACAAGTTAAAATGAGCAGGAACACAATGTGGTGTCCCACATTGCTTCACCACGGTTTGACAGTGTTTTCGTTGGGTAGTGTTTGTCAGTCCTGCACTACCCCCTTGCCATAAACGCTTTGTCTAAAGGAATTAGACATTTAAATCATGGTTAATTAACAAATCAAGTAGAGTACTTGACTAAAGTGGTGTCCGGTGGTGTGGGACCTTTTGGAACAGGGGTTGACACACACTTGAGACAAACGACAAGTTCAAAACAAATATGCAGGAGGAATTAGGTACCCCTTCCAGCCTCAGTACCCCTCCCTGGATTTTGACCTTGTTTGGGTTCTTTAGATGTTTTAAACCTCATTCCCAAAAGACTGTTCCACAAGGCCCTCTCGCTCATATCAGGTCACCATGGCGCCAGCTGCTCGATCGGAACAATGTGAAGGGCGATGTTCCGGGCGAATGGACAGAAACGGTATGATGCCCAACAATCCCGGTGGTTTCCCCAAGAACCCAACAAGTGTACTTAATAATTCATGGTCTACTTCCCGCAGCAACAGGCCAGGGATGTCCAGCAGATGTTTGGAAGGAAGCTCTGAAGTGCACAGT